TGTGACAATTGTAGTAAAGATGCAAGTAGGGATCGTTCTAGACCGGGGATTAGGAGGGATTACTAAATCACTTGGAAACTGACTCAAAAACGTAAAACAAACGTTAAAAACACTAAACTAGACTCAAAGAATGTAAAACTAAACAATAAAATACTAAAACAAATCAAAAGACTCAAAGAATACAAAACACTTATAAACACAAACTAAGACACTTTCTAACTAAATTGGACACTAAAGTAAAGGGGGATTGAGGTTTTGACGAAATTAAACTAAATGCAACGATTGTAATTTAAAGGCAGAATGTAAATATGAATGTGATGAAAATATGGATGAATGCTAGCTAGAAGGTTCTTCTCCACACATGTCACACTTGCATACAATTTGATTTTCAGTTGGTCTTTCGATGAATTATGAAACTCAACGCCCCAAATTAACCGTGAATTGCACTAATTAACCCTCAGTTTTTCCACAAGTTATTAAGTTGGATGATTGCATACGACAACCCAAAGCATTCCCTACAAGTTCCCTACATGAATTGCATAATAGAGATACAAGCAAGAATCATTAAGTTCTATGAAAAACATAAGCATTGACGAAGCATTCGTTACTATGAATTGCATGAAACTTATGCTAAGAATTCATTCAACGCGATCGTTTTCAAGCGACCTTCACTACTTGTGATTATAAGATTGTAACTATTAGGTGAAACTCCCTCATAATCTAGCATCATATTCATGCATGAAAACTAAGCGTGCACTCTCAATCAACATACACAAATAAGTTATCAATCAAATAGATGAACGAATTGAATCCACAACTTATGAAATTCCAACCGAAAGTAATCAATTCATATTGCAAGCATAAACATGGTTTCGAATCACCCCCTAGCTAACTAGGGGGATTTAGCCTCTCATATTCGCAAAAAGAGAAATACAATTGAATTTAAACATAAAGAACAAAGGATTGATTACACCTAGAACGCACGATGAATCCACTTGAATTTCTGCGCGTCTAAGCCCTCCTTCTTCTTCTCCTTGCTGCGGCAGTGAAAGTCTAGGTTTATTTGGGTGATTTTTCTGACTTTGGGATGGATTTAGGGTGTTAAAGTGGGCGGCAATGGTGGTGGAATGGTGTGGGAAAAAGCACAGCAGTGAAGGTTTTTGGTTGAGGGAGGCTACGGCTGAAAAGATTTTGGGAAAAAAATATGGTTGCTGCGGCTTAGAATGAATAATGGGATTATAGTGACGGCTATATAGCTTAGGGTTATGGAATTATGGTGGCTGATTCAAAATGGCATAAATGGGATCATTCCATGGGGGGGCCACGGCTTAGGGAATAAACATTGGAGAGAATGATTGCGGCAATTGAAGACAAAAATGGGAAAGAATGGCTAAATAATTAAATGGAATGAAAATGGGATTTGCGGCTTGTAGGTTTGAATGGGAGAATGGTAGGGTTATGTGTTGAACTAGGGTTATGGCTTGCGGCTTAGGTTAGATTAATGGGATAATGGGCTGCATAATCAATGGCATGAATTGAAAACCCACGGCTGGAATAAATATGGGATGGTTTTAGGTTACGGTTTTAAAATTGAATGGGAGGAAAAAGGGTGACGGCTTAAATGGAAATTATTTTATGGTGGCTAATATGAATAATGGAGCAATGGGAGATGCGGCTAGAATGGTAGAACCTAGGGTTTGAAAAATGTTTTTGTTCCAGAAATTAATCCCTAGCTTATTTTTATTAACTAAAATAAATTCAAAGGCTTCTAGAATTTAGGAAAAATCAGAAATTAAAGGGGGAAGATTAAAATGGTGCGGCTAGGGCCTTGGTTTTGTGTCCTAAAGCGCCTACAAGGACTTCAAAGTGGCTAGAAAATACGGACGTTTAAGATTAGGAAAGATTACCAAAACGGGAAACTTAGGGCCAACTTTCCTAAAATAGGAAGCCTTGTTTGAGTAGGATTCTTCGTTTTGGTAAGAATTCATCGTTGGCGTAGGACTTTGTCGTTTCTTCAAGTCTTCAACTCATTCATTCCTCTTTCGCTCCAAAAGACTCCAATTTGCATCTTCTTGCACACTTTGGCCTTATAATCTGAAAATACACAAAAGTGGCCTTAAACACTGAAATAGATAAGTAAACACAACATAAATGCACGAGAACAAGCTAATTAAGTCGCATGAATATGCGCCTATCAAGGGTGTCCACGGCATTGTTGGGGTTAAGCCACTTAGCCATGGAGGCAAGTGAATGCGCAACAAGGGATCTCTAACCTTCAAACTGTTTGAGGGAGAATACTCTATGATATGATTAAGAATCTTTGGCCAAAGTATGAATGAGATTTAGGAATGTGTTCCAAATCACATTCAAGGTAATCATATAAGCACAAGACTCACATTGAATAGTAGACATGAATAAACTATCAAACCAAACAATGTGGTCAAGAGTATTGTATTAAAGAAAGACCGTATTGCATTTGTAATCCTAAAACTGAATAGGTTCTCCACCTCTTCTGATTAGCTTGGGTAACCATGACATGCTGCTAGGCGTCAACCATGGTTTGTGGAAGCCCTAAAAGTGTATTATCACTAACGGGAGAATTGAAAGTAAGTTTCAATTCACAATCGATTTGAAAGAGTTTGAATCGCCCACTGCCTCGCTAAAAGGAACCTAATGGATCGTACACCGTGTAAGGTAGAGATTGAAGATTCAACGGAGATGAGTAAGAATAATTAAATGGTTTAATTGTTTATGGCAAGGATTAATTAATATGATTATTAATCAAACGAATAAGTTCGTTAAAAGACCTCGGGATAGTTTTGGACCTTAAGGCCCAATGGGCTTCGAACGTCAAGTCCATTGACTTAAGTTGTATGACAACTTAATGAATAATGATTCACAAAGGCCCAAATAGCCCAATAAATCCCATATGGCCGGCCATTTAGAGGAGGGTAGTGAACTTGGCTTAATTGCAAGTTTGCCACTCCATTGTGAGGTGGTATAAAGACATCTTTATAGCCATTTCATCCTAAGGGTTTTCTTAGGAGTAAAGATGAGAACACAAACCTCCCTTTGCTCTCAAAGAGGCCGGCCACCCTTGAGGAAAACATCTAGCAATCTTACTTCCTCAAGGTCACCCATTTCTTTTACAATATGCCTTGGTGTGGAGACTTAGAGGTTCTCAATTTTGGGAACTTGGAGAAACCTTTTCATTCATCCAAATCCATGGATCTAAGATGCAAGGAATGAAGGCCCTCTCTTTGGGTGATTAGCCTTTGCTTATGCAAAGAGGAATCTACAAAGGTATTGATTTCTCAACTCACTTTGTTTTGAGTTGAGTCTTGGTTCACCTATCTACTAGGCTTTGAAGTTCATGGGTTAAGTTTTATTTTTGAGTGCATATAAACATGATTCCGCCTTTTAATTGTTAATTGCATGTTGTTGATGTTGCTCAAATGAACTTGTTTTTCACAAATCTTCCTTCACGTGGCGCGCAGGCCGAGTAACTAATAAGCTAACTACGTCCTTCGGTTGAATGCGGGGCGTGCCAACTCGTCGGCCGAGCTCGGCCGAGGAGTAAAATTCGTTGATGTCGCGTTGAGCGCGTCGTTGACTTCTCTATCTTGCGATTGCGACCAAGGAAGAAACCCTCTCGGTCTCTGGGTTCTATAGCCTGAAGACAAGGCTATTAATTCTGCGGAGTTCACAAATCGTTGGAGCCCGATTCGGTCACTGTGATTATATTCGTGAGAGTATAAGCACGTCGAATTGAGACCAAACTGTACGGGCACAGGTACTCAAACGTGATGTATGTCTTGATGGTAAATGTAGTTCGGCCGTCGGAATGCTGAACCCTGAAACTTACTTGCGAGTATCCAATCATAAAATTGCTCGACGTCCAGTACGCCGAGCAACACAATTCGTAACACCTGACTATGCCGAGAAGGCTAGCAAGGTGACCTCTACCAACAAGGGTCCGAACCCTTCTCAGCCGAGACTTAGATAGGTAATCGGTCGGCTTCGACGCAGTCTTGTCTATCCAAACTGAAGATGCTTCTCGGTCGACTGATTCTGCGGCAGCAGTGCTGTTTATCCAAACTGAAGGTGCTCGCCGGGTGCCTCCACAGTGCTGTTTATCCAAACTGAAGGTATGTCGGCAGAAAAAGAAAAGGAAAAAAATCTCAAGGTATTTGAGAGGTTTTGTGCAGGGCAATTGTATGCTGGATTGAAGGTCCTTTTCTGTTGCATGATTTCTTGTATTTATAGCACCCCATTCCTTGAGACCGATTTGCATCCTGATCTGGATTGGGAGTCCTTGTCCTGTTTCAACTCTAATTCGAACAAACCTACTCCCACTGGGATTCTGAACTTTCCCTCTTTTTTAGGCTTTATTCTTTGCCGGTCGGGAATCCTGGTCGCACCAGGACTTCCTTGCCCTTTTCTATTTATCTGGACAACTTAGGATAGGACTTGACCGACCCTGCCAACTGGCCCGGGATTTATCATTCGGCCCATAGCATTTGACATAGCCTTGGGCCGAGCACATCCTGCTGCTTGGCCTAACAATATTATTTTGGGCCCAAACAATATATAACTACTTTGTAATGGTGGGGACTATACATTCATAGTTTCAACAAGACATAGGTTCGAAACTTAGAGGTTTTTACATATTTTTTTTTTCTTTCTATACCCAATGTTATGGTTTTAACTCATCGCCTGAATGACCTTTTGAAACCCAAAATCCAACACCTTGTATATACTGATAACAATATACAAGCACAGCGCAAATCATATGGAGATGATATGTGCATGTCATGTGTACATTGTGTGCGAAGTGTACTCTAAGTGTAATTTTCCTAAAAAGGTTAGCCGATATTTTTGAAAATCATCGCGTATTTAATCCTCTTCTTTTTTTCGGATATAATATGATATTATATTGGATTAAGGCAATTTATCAACGACTGATCTTCCCAGGCGACTTCATCAAATTTCCAATCAAGGTTTTGGCTCCTTTAATTTTTGGAGAAATTATAGCGTAGTACAGTAGTACCATGTCGGCCGTGAAAGTTTAAATTTCGCCATCTATTATTACTTTTATACACCTGGAATTTAATATTTGTTTTTCTTTTTAAATAAATTAAAAACAGAAAAAATGAAAATAGGAGATCGGACGTCTCCTTTCCCCTCCTCCGTTTGGATGCAGGGATGGTGTTGGTGATAATCAGACTAGGGACATGATTTCGATCTCTCTCTCTCTCCCTCATCTGGGCCAAATCCCAGTTTACTCCGTGCCGCCTTCAACGGCAAAGCGCAGCAAACCCTAATCGTCTAACCTTTAAATCAAACCAGCTTCCTTCTTGCATCTTTTGTTTCTTCCAAAGACAAAAAACGCATGAGTAATTAGAGGAAATAATCAGAGCAAAATGGTGCATGAAAGGGATTACTGGATTGGGTCAAAGGGGGAAGGAGATCGCGATCTCCGATGTTCTTCTTTTTTTCTTTTCTTAAATTTGTTAAAAGGTAAAAATAATATTAAATTCCAACAACTTAAAAATATGACAAATGGCAAAATTTGAATGGAAGTAGCACGGCTGATGTGGCACTACCGTGCTACTCTAAATTTCTACAATTTTAGTGCTTTTGCACGGTACCGAAACTCAAGCAAACCCTAAATCCAAAATCCAGGGGGAAGCTTTCGCTGAATCAGAAGCTGAAACGATGTCGTACGACGACGTGGAGATCGAAGATATGGAGTGGAACGAGGAGCTGCAGGCTTACACGTACCCGTGCCCGTGCGGTGACGTGTTTCAGATCACGAAGGACGACCTGAAATTGGGGGAAGAGATCGCTCGGTGCCCTAGCTGCTCTCTCTACATCACCGTCGTTTACAACATCGAAGATTTCTTGGATAAGAAAAGCAGCAAGCCCATCGAGCCCCCAAAGCTGCAGCCCATCACCGTCGCGTAAAATTTCAGGTTAATTTTGATATAAAATTGTTCTGTGATTTAGTTTTCTTAATTTTTTGTAATAATTATCTTATGAATTTCTGTCGATTACTCTGTTTATCAACTTCAATGTGCGGTACCTGTTTCTGGAGAGAAAAAAAAATGGGGTCTATTTTTTTATTTTTTATTTTTTATTTTTTTGTTGTGAATAATGTTTAGTGTGAATTAGTCAGTTCGGCTTTTCGACTGTTTCCCATTTCTGGGAATGCCCATCATGATGTTGAAGCTGGGATGGATTGGTTTGCAGATGTATGTTTCCGTTACTTTTCGAATGCGTGTTAAATGGGACTCGAACTATACCCTTATGAAACCGCCATAGGAAGCTCTTTGCGTGTTTCTTCTTTTCTATGAAAAGTGTGATTTGGGATAGTGCTTATGAGGAAATTAGTGGTATTTCTGGAGTCTAATCGGCTTTGAATGGAAACTCAAATTTACCCTTTTAGGCAGTATACTTTGTTCAGAGAGTATGATGCCTGAGTTGTTGGCAGTTTCAAGTGTGGAAACTTAACGCGGAAGTGGATGGTTCCATAGTTAGTTTGTCAGGGTGGACTGGAGCTGTGGTGTCCTGAGGGACTGCAATCATTCTTTGAGGTTTGGGTTTCCTGCTAATTTACCAATTAGCTGAGCTCTGGATTCTTTACTTGAAGCTGAAGTTTGCCTTGGGGAAGGGATGCCCCAAAGTCATGGTTGAAACTGACCACATCACTAGCTTCAGTGTTGCTGCAGCAAAGTATTGGACATTATCACCCTTTGGAGCCTTGTTACTTCTATACTAACACTCTAATAGGAAAGCGTGCTCCGGCCTTTCTCATGTGTGTAGGAAATAAATTGATAGTGTTGCCTTTTGCTCTCCCCACTTTGTGGGAAAAGGCTTTGTTGTTGTTGTGTTGCCTTTTGCTCTCACTGGAAAGTGCTGGACTTTGTTTCTGCCCATTCAAGTCAAGGTTAATTGATTTGTTTGTAGTTTATTTCATCTTTTGCCTTTCGCCCTTGTTAAGAAAAAAATGAATTTCGAGCGGTTTCACCTATTGGTTCAAATATTTTTCCATTTGTGCTGCTTTGGGCATTCCTTCATTGCAGTTCCATAAGTTGATTCCAAAGATGAAGAGGTGGTTAACATAGTTCTGTATAGATCAGTGGAGTAAAAAGCTAATGTAATTTTTTGTTTTGTGCTATTATGAAAAATGGCTTATTATAATTTTGTAAAGCATTTTGAGCATGAATAGTAGCAGCAGCACGGTGACTGGACATCACTTTTAGGTTCGTTTAGGTTGTGTTGCTGCATTTAGCTTGACGGGAGAATTGAAGCTCGCATGGATAAAAATCAATTGGAAATCATTACTTTCACATAAGAATTGCTGTATTGTGCATGGCTCGTGGGTTTTCACGCAGCTACTTAAAAATAATTTCATTTCGGTGTAGCTTGTGATCCTTCTAATGCTCTTCTGCTAATGCTTGTGTCTTGTAGATGGCATTACCCGGAGGTCGCAAAGTGGGCAGAAGGATTCTTCGCAAGTTTTGTGAGATTCTTAGGTAGATATGATGTGTTTGAGTGAGGGGTGACGGATGAGGAATCTTTTTGTATTCAACCAGCAAAGAAAAAAGTAGAATGTGATATGCTGAGGCCATTCTTAGAGTCTTAATTGAGCTATTATAAGTGTTTGTTTGACATTTATTATTTGTATTCTGATACTAGTAAAAATAAAGAGTAGTCTTAAACTCAGTCAATTGTCCTATTTCTTCACCCACTTTTTAATGAAACTTATTTCTTCTTCATTATGCCTTGGTGTGGAGACTTAGAGGTTCTCAATTTTGGGAACTTGGAGAAACCTTTTCATCCATCCAAATCCATGGATCTAAGATGCAAGGAATGAAGGCCCTCTCTTTGGGTGATTAGCATTTGCTTATGCAAAGAGGAATCTACAAAGGTATTGGTTTCTCAACTCACTTTGTTTTGAGTTGAGTCTTGGTTCACCTATCTACTAGGCTTTGAAGTTCATGGGTTAAGTTTTGTTTTTGAGTGCATATAAACATGATTCCGCCTTTTAATTGTTAATCGCATGTTGTTGATGTTGCTCAAATGAACTTGTTTTTCACAAATCTTCCTTCAAGTGGTATCAAGAGCCTAAGTCTAGTAGTTGGTGAATCCTTTTGGGTTTTGTAGTTCATAGTTTGTGATTTGAATGTTGTAATTGTTACAAGTTTTATTCTTGCTTCTTTGAATGTAAATTTTGTTAGAAAATTTGTCATCTCAAATGTTGTAGATGTAATTCATATGAGCATGAATTTTGGAGCTAAAATTTGGTGCCATGTTTTTGGGGAAATTCGGCCAAATCCAAAGGGTGGATTTTTGGGTTCTTGTTTGACTTGTTAAAAGTGTTTTAAAGTGACTTTTGGAACCCCTATGTACCCTAGTATGGTTGTATGTTATTTCCCTTAAGTTTGAGTGGTTTTGGTATGTTTTTGGGTGAAGAATGTTCATGGAGCTTTTATGGGTTTTCATGGATGTTCTTCATTGTTCTTGATATGTTCTTGCCAAGAACAAAATGTTTGGTGTTTTGATTCCAAGTTTTGATTTATTTCATAAAGTTTTTGTTTTGAAATATTTCTTATGTTTAAATATATTAGATATTTATTTTGAAAAATTAAAGAAATTTTAGTAGGTAGGTGTGTAATGATTTATTCCATTACACACACCCCACTTACAAAAACTTTGAAATTTTTTTTATTACTTTGCTTCAAAACCGGCCACCCTACTCAATTAGGGTCCTTGTGGGGTTTTTGTGCAATTATATAAAGTTTTGATACTTTTGTGTATTTGCATTTTGACCCAAAAGTTTACGTTTTTACGTAAAGGTCTAAAATCACTAAAAGGACATTGTTTTGCTCCTTTAATGAAGTTTTAGCTTTTGTGGAAATTTTGGGATTCTAGTTGTAATTACATGAAATAGTGAACTTTTGTGTTTTTACAAAGTGACCCCAAAAGTTTAAGTTTTTGCAAAATAGCTCAAAAGTTGAGGTTAATTGCACTATGACCCAAACAAGTTGAGGTCATAGCATTTTGGCCCAAATTAGGTAGAGAACAAAATTGTTTTGTCTATTTAAATGAGAATTGGATTTTCATTTCATTTAGCTCCATCTAAATCAATTCTATGGATACAAAAACCAAATGAAAATGTTGCATTCAAGTTTAATTAGTTAAAGCGTTAATTAATTAAAGAAAGGGTGATTATGAACCTAAGCCTACTATAATTGAGCTATGTGAAAGGCCGTTTCAAATTTGTTTGAACCATGGGAATGTGTAGATTAAATTTTGGTTGTAATTTGATATGATCAATTGTTGTAAAAGAACATAAGCTCTTATTTACTTTGAAGTACTCCTTTCTTGTTTTATTCGATATGCATGAAATTGGAGTAGTTGGGTCCAACACCTAATAAGACAACACGCCTTAATGTGATTAAACGCGTAACTAAAATCAATCACCATCCCTAGACCGAGATTCAACACTAGGCTCGTGTTGAATCGAATCAAAGGTTCATAGTCATCCTAAGGCCCTAAGGCAACTATATAGTCCATCAATGAATGCAAATCTTATGTTAGTAGTATCATATACTCTTGCTTTAAAAACCGTTTTAAAAGCTTAGTGGGAGTATTATATACAACTAAATCAATCAAATGGACCAATAGTTGTAATAGGACCAAAATGTTTTAATTGGATTAAAATGTATGTTTATATGTGATGAAACCTAAAACCCTCAACAAACCATTATTAAGTTGATAAGCGAGAGATGCTTTGAATATCTCTTCGTAGGCCTTCCACCGTGGTGGGCTCCAATCGTTTGTGACTCATGCACCGGCTTCACCCTATAATGGGGAAGTACAAAGTATGTGCTTACATCCAGGAGGAGTCCATAAACATATGATGAGGTGAGTGTAGACAACGAGTATGACCAACATGATATAATTCTGAGGTTGTGCTTGAACCTCTACATAAACTAAGCATGGTGGGAATAACTTAACTAAGTGCAATGGTGCCAACATGATATAATTCTGAGGCATTCATTCTCTAGAGGCCAAACTAGATGGATAATTACAAGATTTGTAAATGACTAAAGTGTTATTCTCTCATCATTATTTTTGCTAACCAAAATGATATAATTCTGAGGTGGGTTTGGTAATGGTGAGTCTCCCATACCTTGCTAAGAGTTCAACAAAACTCTCGAATTCCGATGAGGGATATGGAATTTGCCAAAAATAGTGGGTGGTGCTATTTGATTTAAAGACCCGAATCAAATGGCTTAAAATCAATCAATTTATATTCGTTATGTATTTGTTTACCAATATATTTGCAAACGCTATCCAAAACTTGACAAAGAAAAGCCGAATGTTTTAATTTCCGGACTTAGTTCTACAATCCCATAGATTGTCTTTTATAGCTTGTAGATGTAAATAAGTAGTCTCATCCTCACAATTTTCCTATTGATAATGTATCATTGGAAGAATATGTTAGATAGGTCTAACATGAGAAGGACAACACTTTTAATGTCATAATTCTTCAAATACAAATTGTTGTATGAAGAAATGAGAGTTGCCTTGAACAACTCTTGAAAGTTTGTTATTATGTTTAGAACATAATGGTTGGTTGACAAAAATAGTCCATTTATATGGACTTATGATGATTTTGAATCATTGAGTGTTGAAGTGTTAAACCACTTAACGAGACGGAAACTAGGCAAGGACTTCGCCTTTGTGTCCCTATCCTAATGGTTCACTAAGTTTATTGTAAACTATATAGTGAACAATAACCGCACGCTCTCCAAATCGTTTGATGTGTACAACACATTTGAAATAAGTTTCAAGAGAGATAGTGGGAGTTTAGGGACCATGACTATTGTAGTTAAAAGGGAAGTCAAATGAAGAAGGCAAAATAACTCCAAGGGAACAAACTTTCTTTATGAAAGGATGAACATTGGAAGGGGTATTTGTAAGAAATGTCTTGCAAGTGTCAAGAACACACCTTTTGAAGGTGTTGTAAAATGTTCTTGAAAAGTTCATAACAGTTGGTTCTTCTACTTGAATGCATGATTATGTATTAGTAACTATGTTTTACAATTGTTGTAAAAGTGTGCTAATAAGAAGTAGAAGATTAATGAGAGAAGAAAAAATACTTCACATTCGGAAAGTGAATAAAATATAGATCTCTGCTAAAGCGGATTGTACTTACTTCCTCATATGAACTACTAAAGAAATTGAAAAATACTAAAGATTGTCGTTACATTCAAATTTTAAGGAACTTAAATTCGTCACTATAGTAGAGATGGATAAATGTTTTGTTTGACAAAACATTGTTCTGTATTAATCAATAATTAGATTATTGTAATTTAATTGGTTGTCTCTATAGTAGAGATGATGTGGTAGTTTAACTGTTTAGAATACGATGATGCTTAAAACCCAAAAGGTTGCAAGGGAGTGACTAATCCCAACTGAGTTGTGACACCTCTAAAACATAAATTACGAGTTGGTAATAGATGGATGCTTTGAATCGTTAGATCCGGATCCAATGCCTTCTTGTTAAAATTGTATAGAGGCGAAATGTTCGAATCTTTATTCTTTTTGGAAAGAAGAAAGAATCACAAAGTTGTTGAGATTAATTCACTTAGATGTTAGTGGCTCTTATCCACAACATAATACTACTCATGTTGTATGACATTCACCGAAGATCACTCTCGGTTGGACTATAGTTTATTTTGAATAAACACAAGTCCGAATACTTTGCAAAAGGTTTCAAAGAATTCAAGAAATGTGAGTTGATGAGTAAGACGTCTAAAGTATTTACCTCCTTGGATTTGATCCAAGGAAAGATAACACTTTAGATGAGTTTTCTTGAAAGATATCAAGGAAAATAGCATCATAAGATAATGAATTTCTCCATTAGGAGAAGAACGAACTTGAATAAAATTTAGTTCGTTGGATGTTATTTATAACCCATATATAGGATATATATATATATATATATATACTTCTAAAAACAATATGATTGTCAATTAGAAGATCTTCCAAAATTTTCATAACTCCATAAGATGTAGTTGTAAAGAAAGACAAATCTTAAACATGTTAAGATTTGGGGTTGTGTGCTAATAAGCAATATTTGTTTGATATGATCAACAAAATTAATAACCTAGTTCCTACACCACAAGCTCCAAGGTAGTCGAGAAGGATTTATAAATCGTCTCAGTTGAATGGTTTGAACTTTATGACTATATCATAGAGTTACACCTCTTAATTCGAAAGAAATAAGAATGAAAATCCTTATGACTACACTGAGTGTATATATATGATATATACTCAAGGAAATGGTAAAGTACCATTTGAATCGAAATAATGAAACCTTAATAGCTAATCGGTAGCTTAAGGTGACTACACTCAAAGAAAATGGTTGACTTTGAAGAAACCGTCTTTGACATAGTCTTAGTTTCAATTAAATCGAAGATTGCAAGAAACAACTAAATGGTGATTCAATGTTTGGACATAATATGGGTTTCCGAAACCATTATCAAGATAGTCTTGATAATATATGTCTAAAACTAAGAATCACAAGACATATAAGTTGTAGAGATCCATCCATCATGAATCTCAGCAAGTTAGTGGGAGCTATAAGCATCTTATGAGAAAAAGGATCAAATCGTTTGATTTCTCATAAAGATGTAAATGAATCTTTTGTT